AAAAATAATGAAATGCGTTTTTTTGATGATCGATTTTTGTTTTCCATGATGGTTTGCTATTAGTGAGCCAGAAAGCTGTTCACGAAAAAGGGGTCGGAGAGAGATGAAACGAAACGATGTCAGAGTCACGAAAGTTTTATTGTTGTTTTGAAAATACCAAGGTGGAATTATGCGATGAAAGCTGCAATGTTGGACCTGCCATTCAAGTTGGGACGGACGTTGATGCGATGACCAATGGGTTCGTGAGGGCTTTTGGGGATTAAGGGGACCGCCAGCCAACTTGAGGTTGTCGGAAGGCGGTGGAAGGAAACATGGATGGGAGAACGTTGGCACATCTTCTTTTCTTTCCCCCGACAAATTGGAACCAGACACAGAATCATCATCGCATGCGTCAGATGGGTTCATTTGAAGGCGTGTCCGTCTCGTTGGGTTGATCGTTCGTGGGAGCGAGCGTTGCTTGCTCACTGCGGGAGCGCGGAGAGTCGCGCGCGCGCGCGCGAAATTGTCCATGGCCTTTTTTTAATATTTCCTCCGGCTTGCATTGTTCATGGAGTCCTGGGTTTTATTTTGTCTTTCATCGCCGTCGTCATGAGGCGAGAGAGGGGTCTGTTTGGTTCTTCTTACCTTTTGCCCTCAACTCAGCTCAAATTCAAATCGGTTCCGAGGCTCATTGGTTTTGTCTTGTTGATATTGTCGAGTCCTGCTTGTGTCCTTGTCATATCGGCATCTCTTGAGACCAGATACTTCTGTAATTGATCCTTGGACCTCGTTTTCGTTGGCTTCGGATACGTCGCTGATATCAGTCACTTCAGTGGTTGGCTGTCACAGCGAAACAGACAAGTGAAGAGCCAGGTCATGTGAATCATCGCTGTATTTGAGCTACCGAGAAAGCAGAGGTGCTTACCAGCCTATCTAGTTCGATGGACCTACCTCCACCATGGAAGCCAAATGCTCTGTCTCCAGTCAGATCCTGTTGATGACCCAAAGAGATGATGCATATAGTTCGCCTCTTCATGTTCATGTGAGTCGGCACCCTCCAAAGTCGTCATATGCTGCAAAAACCATCTCCCAGTAAAAACGTCCTCCCTTCAAACCAAAATACGCATACCAGCATGCCCAGGATGGTATCAATTCATGTCCATCCTATCGCCATGGGGTGCCCGCAAAACCTGGCCAAGATTCCGGGTACCTCGCTTCACAGCCTCGGCGTTCCTGCCCGCAGCCTCAAACTCCTCCAATTCCTTTTTGGCTCTCTTAGCGTTTACCTCGAGTGTTTTCTTGTCCCTCTTTGTCGACTTGTGCATGGCATTGACGGCCTGGGCGAGGGGGAATAGCACGTCCTGGAGACATGCCCGTAGGGCCTGGTTGTCATTGCGGAGCTGTGCCAGTGCGAGATCTTGTTTCTTGAGGAAAGTTGTGTGTGCCTCCAGTTCCATGGCAAAGTTGTAGGAATTGCTAACCTGCTCTCCAACAGCACGCTCAATGTTATCTAGTCTCTGTGTCTGGGCGAGGAGTTGACCGCCTTGGTCTTCAAGTTGAGTAGAATGTTTGCCCGAGAGAGCGCCTAGCTTCTTGACCTTATACAGAGCTCGTCTAAGGTCCTTTGTGGAAATTCGCTTCCCGCTGTTGGAAGTGGAGGAGGACGACGAGTAAGGGCTCGGGGACCTGTTGGACAAGGAGTTGTCGTCTTGATGGACCAAGTTGGCCGACTCCGTCTTCTTCGTCAACTGTTCGTCAGACTTGGCGACGCCACCGATCCTCGATGCCTTCTCGGGTCCGACACTGGGTATGCCTTGGAAATGATGACTGGCAGACGCTGCAGCCTCTGACTCCTCGTTCTGACTGGTAACGACCCGTGGCGGCTTTGGGGGCTGGAAAGACGCTAGCGACGGCAGAGCCTTCCTGGGACTGGTGATTACAGCTTCTGCAGCAGACGAAGCCTGTCGGGGAGATTGGCCGGAGGACTGAATATCCTCATCTTCGGGATCGTCTATCAAGGTGATGGCCATGTCAAATGAAGAACCCCTCTGTTGCTGCTTAGTTTGTGCCAGAGCAACCTCATCCGAGTCATTTTCTGACTCGGATTCCGGGTCCTTGGAGGAACCCTTCAGATTGGGCGGCACTCTGGCAGACTTCTTCTCGGAGTGTGGCAACGTCGGATCGCAGCATTTGGTCGCATCCCAGCCAGAAATCTCGAGTTTGGTGACGATGTCCTGCGGCAGACTGGCATTGTTAATGAGTCGGATCGACTCCATCATTGGCGCCGAAGGCGGCCGTTGCCTGTACTGGGTTTCCTTCCAGTCCTTCATGAAATCGCCGTATACTTTCTGCTCGCTGAGTGCTTTTGGCTTCTTATTTTCCGAGTCCCAGAGTACCTTGGAGATATGGGTGTTGACGGCCTCGTTACAGGCCGGATACCTGCTGTAAGCGGGATTCTTGTGTCGTTTAGCCCACTTCCTCCAGCCAGTGATCGATTGACCAGTGTATGGCTTGTCCTTCATGATGTCGGGCTTCAAGGAAGTCGCCAATTGCTTCTGAGCAAGCTTCTCTGCTATAAAGCGCTGCATTGAAGCTGTAGTCACCTGCGGCAGGTTGTTGTCTTTGACACTCTTGAGTAAAGGTTGGTTTGGCTTGACTGTCAATTGGCCAACAGACGTAAGTCGAGAGGGGCCAGTCATCTGCGGTGTTCCTCTTTCAGTGGGTTTGAATGGAGAAATCGTCTGCATTCGACCAGCTTCGACGAAGGAGGGTGAAGGCGGGGAAGGCGAATGTCGTACACCCAGAGGAGGTACTGTAATTGTTGTCTGGGGCGTCCTAGGCGTCACAGGCTTGACTTGGCTTTGCTGTGAGGTTATACCTGCGGACATTGATGTAATTGTATTGAGTTGCGGAAGATGATTAGGAGAAGGACCGTTTGCAGAACCCAAAGTCTGGGAAGGGGCAGGAGGAATTTGACTAGGGGCTGTGGAAGAAGGAGCGGTTCCTGGCCGATCCTGCCTTCTGAAGCCTTGTGGGTAAGACCAATTTCGAAACATAGCAATTGGGAGCTTCCTCTTGCGGAGCGGGAAGGAGTTGGGTAGGCTTCTGGAGAAGCTTCAACCTGCTGGTAATTTGCAGTAACTCGAGTCTTGGTGTCAGAGAAGCCGAGTATGGCCGAGGGAAGTTGTGAATCGCGAGTAACTAGGGCGTAATTTTTGTGCTTCCACGGAAATTATGCTTCTGGTGTAGAGGGCAAATATTCGAGGAGCTTCAAGAAAGGGTATAAATGCGAACGGCCAGATACTAACCCTCTATCTAATGAATGTTCTGGTGTGGATGGGTCAGAGTTGGCGAGCTCGCAAGAACGACGTTGTATCTACATGCCGTTTCGCCCGAGCCTTCAGATGTATTCGGAAGGAGCTATTGTCAACTACCTGCCTAATTCGCAGTTGACAAATTTCCTCACCTCATCACCGACTTCCTTTAGTTTGTCGCATTGCGAGAGGCAATGGGTAGAATGAGAGTTACCAGTGGCGTTGAGAATAGGTGCGATGGAGAACTAAACCACGGAGCAGTACTACTGCCAGATCAACGAGCGAGGAGAGAGTTGAGTGAATACTCGAACAAGGACTGACTGACCTTCATGAGAATTGAGCAACCAGAGGCCTCGGTGGTCAAAATTGCGATTTCTGAACAAAGAAAAATGCAGTATTTACTAACGCAAGCAGGACTCTTTGGCTTCATTCAACATCTGTTCCACTCAACAAACAAGTATTTGAAGAGTGACTATACGCCTTCACCATGGCTAACATTGAACAGAATGCAAGGTTGAACGACGGATCCACATAGTACAGAAACAAGACTCACCGGTGTCTGCTTCCTAGAGTTCTGCATCTGGAGAAGTGATATCCATCGTTCTCCCCGGTTCCCCTTGGTCTGACTTACTCCCGCTCACCAACAACCGACGTCCCATGTTGCTCTTGGGCAGTTTCGACCAAAAGCCAATTGCTGGGGGGGAAAAAAAAAGACCAGATAGTCAGACGTGCCGTGATTGCTCAGGTTCTCGAGTGTGGACATGGACCACATGTTCTATCACCCGCCTACCACACCCTCGACGCTCTAATCATAACCATTCCCAACCGCGTTCGTAACTACATGCAACCACGCCCACCAGAGGTTTCATGATCCTATCCGATCTATGTCCGATCTATCAGATTCCAGATTTCCGCTACTGCCGCCCTTCATACTTGAACCAGCCGCCTGGTTACGGCTAGCATCTTACCGATTAGACCACCAGTTCAAGGAAAGCAATACTATTCATTGAAAACTGACAGATCCCTGGTATCAACGGAACTACCCAGAGATTGTCACCGCTAGTCGTAGCGTAGTCGATGGGCTGTGTAAAACACCCCGATCCTCCTCGAGCTTAGAGGCTCAAAGCGTCCTGCATCTTGGTGATATTTCACGGCACTTGTCGCACTTGAAGAAGAAATATGCTGACTCCGGAATTTGCCGTCGCCACTCAGCTTGAGTTTGAGCTCAAGTATAGGTGTCGCGATACTTGGCATGAACTTAGGGAAGCCCAAACCCAGTGACCCCTAGAAAGGATCATGATATCATAGTCAGAAAGGTGGCGCACTCCCACAGCGTCCTGGTACTTTCAAAGTGTCTCTGCCAGCCATCTATCAATGTAAATCTCGGCACGGCAGAGCTGAGTAGGTATGGCTTGAGTTTTCCGATGAAACCGCAATTTGCATCGTGAGAGAGAGAGGGGGAATTCAGAAAAAAAAGCAAGCAAGTAGCCCTACAACACCAGTGGACGCCAAGCCCTAGCAGTTTGAATTTTCATGATCGAAATCGCGATGCCACTGCTACTAAACCATCAACGATGCCACCACGAAATAAAAGGTCAAGCATGAGGAAGCCCGCCGCTTGTGCAATTCTCGTCGTCAAGGAGAAGGCTATCGATCATCCCCTGGTGACCTCAGAAACCTCTTTTCCTTTTTTCTTCAATTTCCATCATGCTTGGAAAAAGAGCGTCGACCTGGGCGTTCGACACCACGGAAACTCCCGCCCTCTATTTTGGCGTCTGCATAGGTCTGCTGGTACTCACCTCTGCAAAAGCCGTCCAGCAGAGTTTCCTAATCTATTCGAGGACAAACTCGTTGAAGAATATCTACGCTTGGATGTCAGTCATATATATACCTATGGTCCAAACCAGTACCGCGGTTCAGGAGGGGGTAATTCAGGGACATTGACACAAACTCCAGGGTATGGATTCTCCTCTTCGCCAACGCCACCCAGGCGATTATAGTCTGGTTACTTTTCCGCGGTGACATCTCAATAAAGTAAGCAAAAAGGCCAAACGTCCCCAACTCACTCTTCACCTAAACTGTTTTGCTAAAATGCTGTACTCAACTTTCAGCATCGGCTTCATGATTGCGGACGCCATCAGCTGGGTTCTCCAAACCCAACTGGCCCCCCAGATTCTCGCCAACAGACTCGGTCTCCTCATGCACAACAAGCAACGAGTCAAGTACATGAAGATAGGTCTGGTTGTCTTCATCGGCATCTTCAACCTCGCATACATCGCCCTGTGGGTCGTCTTTACAATAAACCCCTCTCAGCTGGCGGTAGTGATCAACAGATACTTGTCGCGGCTGGACATAGTCATCGATCTGCTAGTCAACGTTGTGCTCGATGCGACTTTTCTCATAATCATCAAGCGTGAGCTCATTGCCGGCGGCCTAGTCAAATATCGGCTTTTGTTCAATTGCGGTGTGGCGGCTGTGTGCCTTTCGATATCCTTGGATGTAAGTTGCTTGCGACACAAACGCAGTCTCCAAGTAAACATACGTAACATAGGGCTGACTTTCTCTCTCCTTTTCTCGAAAAGGTTGTCATGATGATCCTCATGTCTGCACCAAATTCCTATCATTACACCTGCACCCATCCGGTTGCCTACTGCGTCAGGCTCATAATCGAGATGCTGATGGCAGATTTGATTGCAGTGATCGCGCGAACCCCGCATGAGATGAGGGATCTTTGAGTAACGTAGTTAGTATGATCTAGCGCTTCGGATTGCCGCCGGAACCGCCACCTACAGATGGGTCATGCTTAGTTCTGAGATAATCAAATACCTTCTTCCCCAATCATTGCACTCACCTCCCTCCCTGCAACAAGTGAAATGCTTTGAAAGAATTCGCCGAGGTCGACAGAACAATACTAAAAGGAAGACAAGCTTGGAGACGTAGCGTGTCCGTCTGAACAGCCACATTCCTTTACAATCCCTCCACTCCTAGGACAACGTAACCGAGGACCAAAGTGTATATTGAAATGATTTTTGAATTGTTGGGTTTGGGGGAATTTTTAACTACTTACGACTTGGGGCATCATGAGCTATACATCCACACAACACGCGGGCCTCCCGTACGATGCTATGCCTGCCGCCGGTTTGAAATAAAAAGACGGCCAAGACGAAGACAATCGGAACATCCTCTGTGGCGCCCTTTGAAAATCCGAGCAGAAACAACAAGTCCCATCTTTTCCCCTGCCTGCTGCTCACTCCTCCACAACTGCCGACGACAGGGGAAGCTGCGTTTTCTTGTTTTTGGCGGAGGACCACTCAGTCTTTCCATACACCTCCCTCTCATATCCAGCTGGCCTCCGTCCATCGTTTGCACGCTCTATTGCTCTTGAAGATCTTCTTCCTTTTGGACCTCTTGTAATCTTTTAGGAATGGGGTAATCGTAAATCTTTGCCTCATCAGTCTTTCCTGCAGCCGCTCGTCCACATCGACAGTTGGCAGCTTCGAGCCTTATCCACCGACTTTGCGTTGCGGCAGTGGCTCTTCGGATCATCTCGCGTCTCCCTCATAAGTTCTGAGCTGGGGCGGTCAGAGGTCACTATACTCTTGACACGATCCTCACAGCGGGATGAGGGGCCCGGCTCGGTCATCGATGAAATCTCCGGTAGGGCTCTTAGCTAGCACCACCGTTGACAGGGGCGGCACCTTGTTGCTGAGCAAGAGCCAGTTGGGCAGCCTGGGCATTCTCGGTTGCCTTTTGCATGACGCCCTGCAGGGCGGCTTGGTCCTCGGCGGTGAGATGTGACGCAAGGGACTGGTAGAATTGAGGTTGCTCCTCCTCCATCTCTGCTCGGGGGTTAGCATTTGTTCATACAAGACGGCATAGCCTGCAACTTACTCATCAAAGTCGCACTGAAAAGTTGGTAGGGGTCCACCTTGTCCAGGGGAGACTCGAGCAAAACGCTGTCTTCTCCAAGGTCGTCCTCAGACTCAATGTCATCAACGCCACGGCTGAACTTTTGAGCCTCCTCGTTCAAGAACTCAAGGTACGCGGTGCTCTCATCGCGGCCTTCATTGGTCTCCTCCTCCTCAGGCTCGTCCTCGACGTTCCAGTTAGCCTCGTCCTCAGCCCACTCATCCTCTTCGCCATAGTCATAGGTGCCGGCGTCGAGGTGGTAGTCGTCACGGAGTGCCTCCTCGCGGTTCTTCATAGCGGCAGGCAGCGTCTTGAACAGCTCGGTGACGCCCTGCAGCAAGCGAGGCCATCCAACGGCAATGCTCTGAGGGACCTGGTCCGCCTTGAGGCTGAGCAGAGCCGCAATCGCGACGATGCACAGCTTCTTGTCGTGTACCCGGGTGAAGTTGGACATGCTGCCGAACCACAAGCTGAAGAATCGGTTGGTCCAGCCCTTGGTCTCGAGGATGTGGAGAGTGAGGATAGGGTTGTAGTGAATGGAGTTGATGACCAGCTCCATGAGGTGGATCTTGTAAGCCTTGACCTTGACATCCTGAGCAGTGAGGACAGTCATGGCGAACTCGATGAAACGCAAAACGTAGTTGTCGATGTTGCCGCGAAGGTTCAGCATCATAGCCTCAGCCAACTTGCAAGCACAGATTCTGTCGACGCCTCCAACCTTATTATCGTTGAACATATCGGAAATCATGGAGAAGAGAGCCTCAATGTACTCGGGCTTCTGCACCAGCTGGCCAGCTCCGTACTGGACAAAGTTGTCCAGGGCGGGCAGCATATCCTCCAGGTAAAGCTCGGCGCCAGCCTTGAAAGTGGCGTGGATGAGCTCGAAGGCCTGCCACATGGTGGGGGAGATGCCCTTGGCAGCAAATGTGCAGCTGTCAATGATCTCAAAGACCTCGTTGTACAGGTCGTACAGCTTGTTCTCAAGGGTAACTTGGATGACAGGCATGAGGACGGCCTCGATGTGGAGCAGAACATCGGGAGTGCTCTCGAGGGTGAGAATGAGAGTGCCGATGGTCTGAAGAACGCCGAGGGCAGTGATGCTCTTCTCGTCAAGGTAGTCGCCAAACTCATCCTCACCATTGTCCTTGTTCTTGTCCAGAACCTCACGGACGATGCGGAGGTAGGTATCTCTCAGCTGCTCGCTCAGGGCAACGGCAAATGGTGTCAGCTCAGTGGCAAAGACCTCAACGAAATCCTCCATGACGTTGGCAAGGGCATCGATATCGGCCTCGTTGGCGAGCTTAAGCAGCTGCTGCATGATGGTAGGGATGCTCTGCTGCATGCTGGTACGAATGATGTCGTGTCTGATGAGAGGCTGCAGGGCAAGCGCGGCAGTGACACGCACGGGCAGCGCGACGTCTGCCATACAGTCGAGGATGTGGCGGTATATAGTAAGGAGGTTGTTCTGGTCCTGGAAGTTGAGCTGCTCGAACTTCTCGATCGTGTCGCAAGCCCGCGCGCGCAGGTATCCCTGCTGGCTCGTGAATTCGGGGAAAACGTAGCGGACGAGGAAGTACTCGACTTGGTCGGCGATGGGGCTCTTCTTGCCCAGGATGACCGGCGCCAACGTGCCAATCATTCTCAGGGCACCCTCCTTGGCGATGTGGTTCTTCTTGTCCTCCGGCGCCTGCTCGTACTCGTTGACCACGGCGTTGACAAACTTGAGGATCTCAAAGGTCTGCTTTCTTCGGTTCTTCGTCAGGCCGACGAGGAAGTTGGTAGCCGCAACATCGGGGGCCGAGGCCTCTTCGTAGAAATTGAGCTTTCTGTGAAGATATTCATCGGGCTCGTCCTCGAACTTCTCGATATCCTCCTCGGACAGGCAAAGGACGGGGAACACGAAGTGCATTACCAGGTTCTGCAGGTGAGGCTTCAGGTGGTTCCACATCTCCTTGGGGCGTACCGACTCGTCGAGGAAAACCAAAGTGTATGACAGGCAGGGTCTGCTGAGCCAGGCCGTCTTTGCAACCCATTTCTCGATCTCGGCCAAGTAGTGCTTAAGAATCTCGGGCGCAATCGTGGCGGAGAACTCCTTGGCAAAACGAACAGCGTCCTCGTCCTTCGTGTTGGTGACGGATTGGGGGTTGCCGTGTCTATTGCAGCGTTAGCCAGCCCTCGAAATGCTTATAGGACCGTAGGCCGATGTTTACCTGATGAACAGTCTGTTCAAGTTGAAGTACGCCCACTTCTTAGCCTTCCACCAGTGGTGTTTTTCACGCTCGTATGAATCGTCGGCCATGGCGCTGGCAGGAATAGCCTTTGAAACGGTCTGGAGGAAAACGGTGCACCAGCCAAAGTTGGTTTGCTGGGCGCGAAGGAAAGCAGAGAGTTCGAGCTAGGACGGTGTCAGCCAAAACGTTACAAAGCCAGGCACAACAAGAGGAGGATTTTGTAAATACCCAGGTTGCGTGCTTGTAAGCCTTGAGGGCCAAGTGAAGCATCTCGCCAGCTTCATCGCTCTCTTGCGCGATGAGCTCGTTGCAGATGGCCAAGAGTCTGGGGAAGCTGGCCTCGATAATCTTGTCGAAATGGACTCTGTTATCGCCGTCCGAAGACTTGAATCGGTAGGCGCGGCAGATGGCGAGAAGACATTGAAGACCAGCCAAAACGGAGGCGGCATCGTTCGTGTTCAGGAGCTGCATAGTGTAGTCCATGAAGTTGGGCCACTTCTCGGGGAAATCGAAATGCAGAATACGCTGGAGGACGGGGATCAACTGTTGCCGGACCAGCCCCTGAGAGGCGGCCATGATGGGCAACAGACGGTCGCGGAAGCGCGCCTTCTCATCTTCGGCGATTTGTGTGTCATTCGGGTTGTGGTCCGACTTTTCCCATCCGCGATTTACACGGTTCTTGATATAGATAACGGCTAAGAGGAGGAACCGTTTAGTATGTGTGCTTGGCTAGGTGAAGCCATACGAGAGCAAGGCAGAGTAGGGGGGCAACGAGGTTCGAGAGGAGCCGTCCACGTACTTGATAGTCGCACACTGTTGTCTTGCTCGTTCTGAAGGACCTCGAGGAGAACGTCCATAAACCCCGGGTGCTCTTCGATCTAAGTGGCAGGAGAAAATATGTCAGCCGGCAAATCCAACATCAAGGGTGACTCCGCGACTATGCCCCGTGGGACCGGACCCGATGCCGGGCAGCTGGAGCGGGCAGCAGGCCCGTGAGGGTGCGAAGACGTGTTGGCGGTAGGTATGCATCTCGTCCATGTTGTATACGTCTGTATATGTGCGTGCAGTGCGATGTAGTGCGGATCGTCCCTGGCGCAGTCATGGAGGGGCCATTCGTGGGGGAGGGGGCGGGATCTCTCAGGACACGAGAAGGGGCCAGCAGGAAGCGAGAGCGGGAAAGGAGGACGGGTGGGAAAGGCAAAAAGAGAGAAGTTCTCGTGTTCATACCTGCTTCAGCTGAATCTCAGCCCGCCGTCTCGTGTCGGCATCGGGGTCCAAACTGGCCGCGAGCAGGCCTCGAATCGCCGTGGTGTCCATCTTGGGTGAATTGACGGGGTGATGTCGAGGCGAAGGCGGGATAGGAATTGAGAGGAAGGAAAGCGGTGCGGGTGGTGAAGACAAAATTTTGGGCGGGTCGACTGTGTTGCCTCGAAATGGCGGGGCATGCCACGGCGACGGCGGTACGGCGTGTGTGGGCGTAAGGTACTGGGAGTGGATGTGTGCGTGCGTGTGTGCGGGTGTGGGCGTCGCTGCGTAAAGGTATGTACCAGGCTGCGTAGGTACTGAGGTGCGTATTTCGGACTGCGTGTGCGCTC